ACGACTCAGAGACAACCCATTTATTCCTCTCTTCCGAGTACACAACAGTGGTGTCAGAAGTAAAGGATTTTAATCAGTGATAGCTACGAACGAGCAAATGTCGTTATCTACCGAAGCTCTAGCATCGCTAACGAATGTCTTCGCAGAGGCTATTCGAGAAGCTGCGCGAATGGCCGCCGAATCGGCAACAGGGGCCACAGCCGGTGCCACGGCTCAATCAAAACCACCGTCATTCAATATTGGTGAATTTCGTTCTTCGGATGGTGCCACCGTGGAAGACTATTTTAAACGCTTCGAGTGGGCACTCAAACTAAGCAAAATTCCGGAAGAGCAATGGGCCAACTTCGCGCGTGTTCACATGGGAACTGAGCTAAATCAGGCACTCAAGTTTCTGGTAAGCCCGAGGTCACCTGAGGATCTCACATTTGAGCAGGTACGAGATACACTTAAAAGCCATATGGATCGCGCTAAAAACAAGTTCGCAGAGAGCATTCGTTTCCGACAAATTTGTCAACAAAAGGGTGAGACAGTATCAAACTTCGCTCTTCGTTTACGTCAAGGGGCAGTTTATTGCGAGTACGGAGAATTTTTAGACAGAATGCTAATAGAGCAATTATTACATGGCCTCGAATCTCGCGATATGTGCGACGAAATTATAGCAAAGAAACCTGCAACGTTCGACGCAGCGTTTGATATCGCACATACTCTTGAGGCAACGCGACTTACTGCGAATGAGGTTAAAACCGCGACATTATCAGTTCTCAGTTCCTGAAACTACGCATAAATTAGGGTACTCTCAGCCAAAGAAAAAGAACAACGATAAACAACGGCGCCAGAGATCATTATCGCGTAACCGTCAGCAGCAGCGGCATAAGCAGGATTCGTCACAAAAGAAACAAGATCGCCCTTGTCAAGGATGTGGAAGGGACCATGCACGAAGTCAATGCCAGTTCCGTGACGCCGAATGTCACAACTGCGGTATTAAGGGACATATCGCTAAAGTATGCCGATCAAGGGACAACAAGAAAACCGATCAAGTCTCCGATGCACTCGTACCAGCGGAACACGTCGACTCAGTCCAATATTTCAATAAGGTCAATGATATCGGCTCCAACAGCGTAGCGCAAAAGCGGATGATCAATGTTATAATTGATGGCCACAATTTAAAAATGGAACTGGACACTGGGGCACCTTGCGGCATCGTAAGTAAAAAAACGTTGCGCACTTTTAAACCATTTTGTTTTTTGCAGAAAACCGACAGACAATTTGCCAGTTATACACTCCACAAAATCAATTGTATCGGACGTTTGCCAGTTAACGTTAAGGTTGGTCAGACGACTAAGAGGCTAAATCTATATGTGGTCGAAGGCGATTTCGACACACTCTTTGGACGAGAATGGATTGCACATTTCACTCATGAGATAGACTTCAAAAAAATCTTCTCGTCGTCGAATAAGATTCATGCGGTATCCACTACACCGCCCCGTCTTACTCAGGAGCAGGAAAAGCAATTAGAGCAACTCTTAGATCGCTATCAGGATGTATTTAGCGATGTGGCAGGGAAGTTAGTAGGTCCACCTGTCAAATTACACCTAAAGCCGGAGGCCACGCCAGTCTTCGTCAAAGCGCGAGAGATACCGTTTGCACTTCGAGATGCTTATGCCAGGGAAATTGATGCGAAGATATCATCAGGGTTCTACAAAAAAGTCGAATACTCCGAATGGGCGTCCACCACTCACGTCGTAACTAAGAAAAACGGCAAGTTACGTATTACGGGCAATTACAAACCAACACTCAATCCGCGTATTATCGTAGATGAACACCCAATTCCTAAGGCTGAGCAAATATTTAATGAAATGAAAGGCGCAAAAATCTTTTGTCATCTTGACATTACAGACGCTTACACACATCTACCGGTCGATGAGGAGTTCAGTCACGCGCTTACGCTTAATACGCCAACTCACGGCTTAATCCGACCTACACGCGCAGTCTACGGAGCAGCAAATATTCCAGCTGTTTGGCAACGACGCATGCAGACTGTCCTACAGGGTCTCTCTAAAGTACGCAATTTTTTTGATGATGTCATAATTTTTGCCGAAGACTTTGCCGATCTAATGGTAATCTTGGAACAAACGCTGGAGAGATTACGCGCTCATGGTTTACGACTCAATCGGGCGAAATGTGTTTTCGCAACTTCCTCCGTGGAATTTTTGGGTCACAGGATCGACGCTCAGGGCATTCATAAATCCGACAAGCATATAGAAGCTATCAGAGACGCACCCAAACCCTCAACTCCGGAGGAACTCCAATTATTTCTCGGGAAAGCCACATACTACAGCGCATTTATCCCGGATCTTTCAACGAAAGACCGACCACTGCGAAACATGCTTCATCAAGTGCCTTTCAAATGGACACCTGCTGCAGAAGAAGCATATCAAGATATTAAGGAAGCATTGATATCACCACAAGTCCTTATGCCGTATGATCCGTCATTTCCTCTACTTTTGGCCACCGACGCCAGCAAAACGGGCCTGGGTGCCGTCCTTTCTCATCGGTTAAGCAACGGTCAAGAGCGACCGATAGCATATGCAAGCCGCACTATGACTACTACGGAACAGAAATATCCTCAGATCGACAAGGAAGCGCTTGCCATCGTTTGGGCAGTGCAAAAGTTCTTCCACTATCTCTATGCTCGTCATTGGACCTTGATCACAGACCACAAGCCCCTGACTCAAATCCTTCATCCAGAGAAATCGCTACCAGTTCTATGTATCAGCAGAATGGCTAATTATGCAGACTATCTTGCTCACTTTGACTTTGATGTAATTTTCAGACCTACGAAGGAGAACACTAATGCTGATTATTGCTCAAGAGCCTTACCCTCGACGATTAATACTATTCAATCTTCTTCATCGCTGCAAAGGAGAGAAGAGATTGAAGGAGATGGATTCGATCATTTCGCTATGAATCAAATCGAGCAACTGCCAATCGATGCGAAACAAATTGCTCAAGAAACAAGAAAGGATCCTGAATTAGGGAAAATAGTCAAGTTATTGGAAGCAGAACAAAGCCTCGAGCGCGCAGGGTATCGAGCTCCAGAATCCGCTTACAGATTGGCCGCCAACTGCCTGATGTTCGAGCATCGCGTCGTTATACCATCCTCGCTACGAAAAGCAATACTCAATGATCTTCACGTAGCACATTTAGGTATCGTGAAAATGAAAGGGATGGCACGGTCATTTGTTTATTGGCCAGGTATCGACTCGGAAATTGAGCAGACCGCTAAATCGTGTGCTGAATGTGCTAGGCATGCACATGCTCCGCCTAAGTTCTGCCAGCATCATTGGGACTACCCCCAAGGTCCCTGGGAACGCATCCATATTGATTACGCAGGCCCCGTCGCTGGGACGATGTTACTGATTGTTTCCGATGCATTCAGCAAATGGCTTGAAGTCAAGATCACTAATTCGATGACAACGGCGGCAACCATCGCCATACTTGATAACTTATTCACAGCCTATGGTGCTCCGACCATCGTAGTATCAGATAACGGAACACAATTTACAGCAGCTGAATTTAAATCGTTTCTACAAACAAGCGGCGTCAAGTATCACAAACTAACGGCGCCTTATCATCCATCCACCAATGGGCAAGCGGAACGAAGTGTGCAAACTGTTAAAGATGCCCTTCGTGCCATGGGAACTTCCCGAAACACGCTGCAAGCAGATCTGAACAAGTTTCTCCGTCACTATCGTATTGCACCGCATTCGACTACGGGACAATCACCATCGCAGCTTTTCCTGGGTCGAACATTACGAACACGTTTGGATCTGGTGCGCCCTGACGATGTCTTTACGAGAGTTACTCAAAAATGGAATGTACAATACGCTCCAACATTCCGGTCATTCAAACCGACTCAAACTGTGTATTTTCTTTCGGGAAATCCCAGAATGGACAAATGGGTTCGAGGAACCATCGTAGCTCGTTTAGGAGAGCTTCATTATGAAATTGAATATGGAAACAAACGGTTCAAGCGCCATGTGGACCAGATTCGAGGATATTTAGAAAACTCGACGACTAAGCAATCTGATCTTCCATTATCTGGGGTGAACAACGAAGAGAAAAGTCGTCACGTGCGTTTCTACCCGGATCCTCCAAAAGCTTGCACACCCCTGAAACCGAGGAATGTGGAAGCACTTGCTCCCCCATTGCCATGCCAAAGGACTCCGACCCCGTCTACGGCTCCAGGAACTCCTCCACGGACAGCAGCAACACCTGAAGGCAGCGCAGTGCAAGATGGAATCGCCGCACCCTCGGTCCTTCCTCGAAGAACAACGCGGAAACGTCGCTCTCCTGATAGATACTCTCCGAGTAAATGTTAGCGAGGTTTTCATTATGAGGGGGAGAAAATATTGTATTTTGAACCGACCGCCATATACAAATACACACACATACACAATAACGCTTACAGCCAATCAGAGTTTTCTCCGTGCGCTCCACCTATATTTGTTACTAGCCGGTTGGTAGCGGTAGCAGTTCCCCAGTAACAGTTGTACACGTAACACGCACGCTCTGAATAAAGTAAAGTTTTACGAAGAATCACGACTCAGAGACAACCCATTTATTCCTCTCTTCCGAGTACACAACA